TCTAATGACCTAAGTAGAAGGGTTAAAATACTTGGTCTCAAATTTATAGGTCTAATTGCCTTTAGGTAAAGATCCTTGTTAGCTCCAAAAGGCAAAAAAAGATGAAAAATCAAGTGTGCTAGAACAAAGAAGAACAACTTGAAGATTAAATGCTTTCTAGACAAACAAAATGAAAATGGGTGACTTCTTTTTCAAAAACCTCTTTATGCTTTCAAATTTAAGAATTTTACTTGAGAGTATTTGATTTAGCTTGTTTTATAAAAGTTGTTTGCTTTTTTTAATTGAAAATGTTTTTGTTAGTGTATAAGTCTCAATGAACAATATATCAAAAAGGGATGAATTGATATATTAAAAATTTCTTGTAAAGGTATATTAAAACTTTTTCACCCAAAATACTTTTTAGTATCGAAAGCAAGTTTATAACAATAAATCACTGAAAGTAAAAATAATTTATCAAAGTAAAATATTTTTCCTAAATTTAAGTGCTAGCTATGAAAAGTAAAAAGAAATATATTTTCCTAAGTATAAGTAATAAATTAATATAAAACTAGTTTCCTAAGGCAAATATATGCAATGATTAATAATGGAAAAAATTAAAAAAGAGAGATTACATTTATAGCAATTCAACTTTTTTGGTGTCTACATCCATTCTTTTAGTAACCAAGGAATTTCAAACCACTATCAAGGATTCTTGCTTTTTAATGGAAGCGATAACTTTTACACAATCCATAAAGAGATTATTGCTTTTTAACAAGAAGCGATAACTTTTACACAATCCACAAAGGATTCTTTCTTCTTAACGGGAAATGATAACCTTTCCACAAAGGATACTTGTTTTCTAATAAGATCAAGTGATAGCCCTTACACAATCCATAAAGAGATTTTTACTTTTTAATGGGATATAGCAATCACTCACCAATAATGGTTTTTATGGGCTCACCCACAAACCCTTGAAAAGTGGATAAACCTTTAATATGGAGCACAAATTTCAGCAAGAAAATGTCTCTATAAAAGCTAGGTGTTAAGACCTTAAGCTTGTTTATAGTGAGAGAAGAAATTTTAGCACGAATGAAGCCAAGATACAACACTATAAGCATGGTGGAGACTAAAAGGAAGCTAGAGAGTGAAAATGAGCTTTTGGGTAGTCTCTCTACAGTTTGAAGCTTTGGTTCAGGTCTTCTCTTACTTCAAAATGGCTTAAATACATCTATTTATATCTAGGGCAATGTTTGGAGCTGTTAAACACAAGTTTGAATGAAATTTGATAGTTGCTGAAGCTTAAGGGTTGACTACAACACTCTTAAGGTCTACTATGTTCTTCAAATTCTTAAATTAGGGCTTCCATAGTCAAGTATAATCTTCCTTTAGTCGATCCATCTCCCCATAGCGTGTTTTGTACAAGTCTGAGTAGCTATAGTTGACTATGCTTCCTCTATAGTCGACTATGGCTAGGTAATCCTGACTTTTCCTTGCCTTTGACTTGTTAAGGTTGAGTACGCTTGGTTCAAGGTCAACTATGTCTATTCAAGACATGATTTTTTTGACCTTTCTGGAGTAGGGTCAACTATAAACATTTTAGGGTTAACTATGGCTTTATAATCTTCAAGTTTTGCACTTTTTCAGCCTTTGGATCGACTCTTGGCTTGTGTCTTAAGGTTTCCTTAGCTTTTGACACTTTTCTCCACCTGTTTCCTCATTTCCTTGTTCCTACATTAAAATAACATTTCAAAGCATGTTAAAATAAAATATTTCGTACGCGAGAAAATGATAATTAAATAATAATATTTTACTGAGGATGAATTAGTGAGATAAAAAGATAATTCTAAAGTGAACCAAGACAAAGAGAGACATTTTGGGTCCTAACGAGATAAGTTGAAAAATTGAGAATAAAATAATATTTTATTAAAAAATAATATTAAAATATTAATATTTTATC